AAGTTTGCTGCTTTAGTCAAGTGGCTCACTGTTTATGGCAAACTTCCAATCCACTAAAAAAATTGGAAGTATCTTGGTGGACAGCATTGTTTCTCCTGGTGTTATGTTGACATTTGTCTCAAATGTCCTTACGCTGCAGGAAGGGCGCTAATTTTGGGGTTAGAGTAGAAGAAAGCAGGGTAAAGCAAAAGTTGCCAAGTGCTTAAGAATCGTGATACATGTTTAGAACAGATAAGAGCCAAGGGTAGGCGTGGAGCAGCTCTGAGCACTTGCTTTTTTGTTTCTCTGCAGACAGTACAATGTAGATTATAAACTGGAGACCTACCTGAAGATTGCCAGGCTGTATCTGGAGGATGACGACCCGGTTCAAGCAGAAGCTTATATTAATCGAGCTTCCCTGCTTCAGAATGAATCAACTAATGAACAGCTGCAAATCCATTATAAGGTTGTCCAGCCTACTTTATTGCCTTCTCTTTCTGAAGGGAAATGATGCCACATTGAGATGGTTTTATGCAGTGCCACTAAAACCTTCATAATGAGAAAACAGACAGAGGGAAAAGCTTCTAAATGGCCTTGGGAGCTTGAGAGCCACATTGTAGCAATAATTAGACAGCTCATTCCTTATGATTGTGAGAGAAGTCTGTCAAGGTTCTTTAAATGCCAGCTTTACTGATTGAAAATAAAATGTAGGCTTCAAAACATCCAAAATATTGTTGAAAATATTGCCTCCACCTTTGCCTGTAAAAAATTTAAGAGGAAAAAAATCATGTCCAATATTAGCGACAGTGGAAGGCCTCCCCCCTTGTACTTAAATAATAAGTACCACCCATGAAAGTAGCTTTAAGTCTCAAGTAGTAAAGTAACTGATCTTAGCGCTTATTTGTGTGTTTCCTGTGTATATAGTTCTTAAGTTAATTTCTCCAACCATTTTAGTAACTGGGATGAGTAGTGATAGGTATAGTGTGAGAGTACCAATCAAGTGTGGTGGTGTTTAAGATTCTAAAACACAAAGCAGATGTGCCATGAGCTGTAACTTAGGGTGTGGTAGTTTTGGTTTGTTGGTTTTCCTTTTTCTTTTTTTCTCCCCCCATGCTATGTTTTAAAGCATGCACTCAGTTGGCAGTGTAAATATTTACTGTAAGTATTAGAAAAGCACAAAGGATGGGAGAGAAGAAATATCAGATACCATTACAGTGCTGAAAGGGAAAAGTAAATGCTTGAAACATAATTTGCAACTTAAGTGCTAGCTGTCAATTCAAGTAGTGAAAGGGAAGCTTACTGTAGGTACCATATCAGTTGTACAATATTTCCTTTGCTTAGTCTCTGTCATTTAGACGTTTGCAGTGTTTAGCATGTGAATAGTGGTGGGAAATGCCCTTTCAATTGCTTTCCATGATACTTTAGCAAGGGCTTGACAAATGAAACTAATAGTTGGAAGACACAGATTTCCCTAGGATGCAGTAGAGCAATATTTATGTGAGCTGTCACTTGATAACTTGGGAACTTAGACACACCTATGTTACGCAGCCACTCCTGTTAGTTTTCTTTTTCTCAGACATGTTTTCTTTCTAGGTTTGCTATGCTCGAGTTCTTGATTACAGAAGGAAGTTCATTGAGGCTGCCCAAAGATACAATGAGCTCTCCTATAAGAGCATAGTCCATGAAACTGAGCGACTGGAGGCACTGAAGCATGCTTTGCATTGTACTATTTTGGCATCAGCAGGTAAAATACACATTACATTTTTGTGTAAAAGACCCAACATAGGTATTTCATATTCCCCAAAGCACGTCAGCTTGTGCATTGCTTGTGGGGAGGGATCTTGTCAGTGAGACTTGGTGAGGAATCCAAAATTATGGTGTCAAAATTACCTGTTGGTGTACTGGTAACGTAGAGTTGGATTACTTCTGTGTCTTGCCAGTGTTAAGGTGGCATCTTGGCTAAAGATGCAAAAGATGGTCAGTGGCAAACAATGTTTTGCAACTGAACACAACTGAGTTCCTTCTTTGGTAGAGCTTTGTTGGTTAATTGCATGTATTCAGAAAAAAATATGATAGCTTTCTGTTGTTTACCTCTGCTTCTCAATTATTTGGTGATAATTTATGATGATTTTTCTTGACTCTCCTAGGACAACAGCGTTCTCGCATGCTTGCTACACTCTTCAAGGATGAGAGATGCCAGCAGCTTGCAGCCTATGGGATCTTGGAGAAAATGTATCTTGACAGAATTATCCGTGGAAATCAACTGCAAGAGTTTGCAGCTATGCTAATGCCTCACCAGAAAGCAACTACAGCTGATGGTACGTATTTCTCTAAAGCCTTGCGATGCTATGTGTTCATCCACAGGGGTTAGATTTGCCCATTGCAGTCAAGAAGTGTGATGGAAGAGAACGTAGTATTGCTTATGATTGTTTAAAAGTTATTTCCCAGAATGTTACCCTCATGAGTATAGTTTAATAGTAAGGCTTCTTAGCCATAGTTTGTCCTTCTGATTGGCTGTTAAAGTTTTGAAGTACTGTTCTAGAAGCTTGTAAAAATCTGGTTTCTCTGTCCATGTAGTCCTCTTCACTGACAGCCTCCCAGTATTTCTAACCTTGCCTCATACTTGGAGTCTCTGGCCCTTTGAGCTTCTCCAGTTCTAAGGCACTGTTTTAAATAGGATGCTCAGCAACACGGGACATGCACGTAGGCTGTAAATGGTCTGTGCGCATGATAAAGGTATTTGAACTGCTTTCTGACTCTTGGCAAATAGTGAGGGGATGACTTGGGCCTCACGCTGTCTCTGAATTGTTTTCTGATCCATCACACTGACATCTTATTAGCTTTGTTCTTCCTGGGACATCTGAACAGTGAGAAATAACGCAAGGTAATGGCCACTGGAATCCTAAACACATTGGTCTCCATTTTCTACATTAGAAGAATATTGAAGTGGAAAAATACATAAGCATGAAATACCTCTTAATCAGGCAAACCTTCCTGTTGATTAAGGACAAATAAACAACTGTGTAATTGCAGAGGTGAAAACTGGTTAAAGGTTCTTACTAACAATAAGCTGCAGTCCTTTCCTTGGGTCAGTTTGTTGTTTATTTGTAACACGTACTGTTTGTCCTTGTAAGTTAAAGAATGCAAGTTAGTTGGTATTTAATAATGTGCTTATCTTCAGCTGGAGGTTAAGGGGCAAATGAGTTAAATTGTTAAATCAAGAAGAGAGAAGTTAGCTGAGGGTTTATCACTGTATAAGCACAGGAAGAGAGAGGTTAATTGTACCCCTAAGAGTGAATGAATACAAAAAAAAGGAATGGTCTTTCCATTTGGCTAGCTAGGAACTGATCACAGGAGGTCAAACTCCCTCAATTCAGATGCTGGGTCTTGTAGCAAAACCAAGGACTCCCCTGGATTATTCTAGAAATTAAACAAAAGAGTTTTAAGCTACCTGTCTTAAAATCAAGTACATGCTGTCCGTTTATTTTTACTGACTTTCTTCTGCATAGTGTAACACTGATGCAAGGCAAATGCATCTGGACCTTCTGCAGACATAACCCTTGGGGAAGAAAGCATTTTCCATCTGCTCTACAAAATAAACCAAATATTTGAATCTTAGAGTAATGGATTTTTTTTTCCTCATCCAATCCCTAAGGTTCCAGTATCCTGGACAGAGCTGTTATTGAACACAATTTACTATCTGCGAGCAAACTTTACAACAACATTACTTTTGAAGAGCTTGGAGCATTACTAGAAATCCCGGCAGCTAAGGTATCAGTTTTCTACATCTTTGGTAAAAACAAGAAGGACCAGAGACATGAGAAAATAGCTGTGGTAAATATTAGGAAAATCAGTTAAATATTCGGAAATTATTAACTATTCCATGTTATGAGGAGTGTTAAATATCTAGTACATCTTACATGAAGGGGAGGTACACAATGCGAAATGAACAGTAGTAGAGCCAGATGCCACTGATACTATGTCTGATCATTTCATGATTAGTGTTATCTGTAGGTTTTTTTCCCCTGCCACGTGTAGAGATGATGAAAAACCCATACAGGACTATGAAGTCTTAATAATTTTTAACTTTGTTCAGAATGGAAAAAGTTTCTGACATCTTTCTTAATTATTTCAGGCTGAAAAGATAGCATCTCAGATGATAACTGAGGGCCGCATGAATGGATTCATCGATCAGATTGATGGAATTGTTCATTTTGAGAGTAAGTTTGACCACAGTAACTTTTTTTCCTAACACCATTGAGAGTGAGCTTTTTGAGTTGCTGCCTTACAACATGAGGAAATTGAGTTTCTTCCGAAGTGAGCTTGCTGTGGCCAGGAGGCGGCAGAGTTTGCTGGGAGGGAGGCTCACACTTC